CGCTGTGCATGTAGAAATTAACACAACATTTTCCCATTATATTCACTAAGCCTAAATTAAGACAACTCAAAAAAAGCTAATTCTTTAGTGTAGGTAAATTTCAAATTCAACATGCACACTATGCATGCAGGGAAAAAATTCTATTTCAATCCCTGCACAATGAATGTTCACATATTAGTAGTAGGCAGATTTTAGAGATCTGCTACACTTGAAAAAAAAAATTCTAAAAATATGACTGATTGAAATTTTGAAGGGCATTTATTAGGAGCAGTAAATCACTTCCATGAGTTTCAAACTGTGCATAGTTGATGAGTGAGAAAACTGAGTGAGAAAATATTTTGCGCAGTTTCTCTGCCACCCCGCAACAGTCCTTTACACTGGGAAAATAAAATGGGAAAATAACTTAAGTTGTTATTATATAATTTTTAATTTTACTAGATGAAACTTTGGAGGTGTTTTGTCAGCTTGAAATGCAAGATTTCTGTCCACAGAGGGTACTTGGATGCAATAAGTAAGTGCTCCTTATTTCTCCCACGGTAAGTACAAGTAATAATCAAATAAATGCACTGATTCTAACAATTTTCTCTATAGGGGCAGCCATCTTGAATTTATTTGATTATCACTTGTACGCCAACTGACTTTGGGTTTTCTTAAGTATGTTTTACACAATAGAGGTGATGATATGTCCTGATATCTTCAAAATATTTATAAAATAACATAGTATGCAACTATCCATCTGTGATGAAGTCTCGTTTTGAGTACACATCTATCATGAATATTTCTGATCACCAGCAGAATGCAATGGACAAGATATTTGACTTGATTATGGAATAAGAGATCGGTTTCTCCAAGGCCCAGTTGGGTATTTTGAACCTTACTGCATACAATCTTAGATAAACAAATTCATATTTATTCTAGTGGCACAAACTCTGTGGTGAGTTTCACTGCCTGACAGTTCACATCAGTTCATAATGATTCTTCCTAGAGATTTTGTATTTGGTAATATTATTAAAGTGAAGTGTCTGTTATTGTCGGCATTCCTGGCAATAACATTCACCATTTCTGAATGGTTAGGGCGATCAAGTCTCATAATTTTATTCAACAAGAAATGTCACATGTGAACAAATAATTTTTACTTTAATGTTGTACCTTAGTCAGGTATGAGCTGACATAAAATGTCTTTCATTCAATTGTTTTACAGTAGTAAAACAGACACAGTATCAGCACCTGCAAGTTGTGTTAACAGTAACTTGAAATCAGTTGAGGTGGCTGCTGCAGTGAGCGTTAAAAAAGACACAAATACCAGCACATTGTTATCTGTGGATGTTGTGGATCAGGACGTTAAGCCTCAGGATGGGTTTATGTATATCTGTGGTGTTATACCATCCAGTAGCATCTCTGTAGATATGTGTAATCAATCTCACGCATATGGATGTATTGGATTGGAACAATCATTGGAAGGAGGTTGTACTGCAGAGAAGCAACTATCATTATGGTATCAGAATCTGTTGACAATATTATCCAAGAAGAATCTTTCTTTGGTAAGAATTTCTACATCTTTCATTAACCATGTTTTCATTGAATCAGGTCACCTAAAAAAATGTACGAGTACTGTCTTCGTTTGACTTTGTTAGCTCAGGGTACTCAGCTCAAAAAAGATTGTGTTTTGGGGGATGGGTGATTAGTGGAGCAACCCCACTTTAAAAAATATCCAAAAGACAATTTTCATTAACCATGAGTATTACAAATTTTTGGGGAAAATAAAACTGCAAAATGATTTTCTTCATTAATTCTCACAACTCTTTTACAATGATGAGCAGAAATTATTGCTAACAATTATTAGGGTCTGTAGGAAAACAGTCAAGATCTTTATTATCTTTATTGAATGTTTTTGATTGTATGCAAACTTTTGATGCAAAGCAATTCCCGCAGTGTTTTTCTGTACGATTTGACCTACTGACTTGATACATGTAGGTACATGTATGTGTTGAAATGACATAGTATAGATTAAGGCATTTTCACAATAATGCAGAAGTGGATTACAGATGTTTAAATACCATCTGTTGGCACTGATTTTGATGAATTTTTTCTAAAAACTAATGATTCGCATTATTGAAAAATCTGAAAATAAAGTATTTATCACCTTTCATGGCCGTGAACAGGTCAGGTTGAATTGAAATTAACCTGTTCCCATTTACGAGAGTCACAATGAACACTGTAGTTATTCTGAAAAGTAAAACGATGTTCATTTACCAAGTTTCATGACGTAACAGTTTAATTTGGACTGTGGGAGGTGGGAGCTTAGTCGTAACCCTGAAAACAGAGCACAGTCACTAAGTCTGTCAAGTATGGTATATGACAGTGGATGTGTGAACAGTTCCTCAACTGAAGGATCAGTGTAACTTTATTTTTAATTCTATATTTAATCTATTTAGATCATGGAAAGATTTCCTATTGTAACTCTAACCCCACACCACACAGCTCCACCCTCTTCCCAATTCAATTTTATATTCCCCCTCTAGATAATTATCCTAAGGTGTCCTTAGGAGGGGTATATATAATTAAATTGGGGAATGCTGGAGGGTAGAGGTAGGCTTAGTGTTATGGGTAGGGGTACAAAAGAACTCTTTCCTCAATGGTTTCCTCCTTGAAGTGTCTCAAGACTAACTATAATCAATCTGGCTATTTTCAGGTTGTTGAGTTCATGGACCTCTTCAGTGGTTTACCAGTGACTGCTGTATTGCAACCTTTGACCTTCTCCATGGCAACACTAAGACTGATCCTGCCTGAGAAGGTGATTTATCTGGATAAATCTTTGATATTTGGTTTTTCTCAGACTGAGAATGGTGAGTATTAGTTTTATTGAGGTTCTAAAAGTTACTAAAAAGAGTACCAATATTTTGTATATAATTCAGCTGTCCTTTATCTTGGCTTACAGTGTTTTTAGAGGTAACTAACTGTAAATATATTTAATTTTGCGAGTCAGTGACTTGCAAAATTTTGTAATAATGAATTTCATAAAATCCTAAAATTGCAAAACCTGTGAAAATTAAGTGGTTTACAGTACTCATTGCATACATGTAGTGTGCCCTCCGAGCTGATATGATGAGCTACTGACTCACAAAGATTAACTGTGACCTAACTAATCGTGCTAATTTACAGGTGCATCACCATTGTCGCAACAGGAAATCATACATTGATGTTATAATAATTTTGAAAAACAGAAGCAGTGTTCTCCCCAAAGCGTTTTAGCGTAGCGGGGCCGCTACTCCATTATTTATGCCGCTACTCTGAGAGATTGCCCGCTACTCTGTGGCATTTCCTGTTACTCTTTGTTTTAGCTTGTTAATACACGTGCGAATCTGTTAGTCAGCGTCATCAGCGTCCGGTACTGGGAGCCAAAT